TGTAAAATATTTAGTTAAGCTTCAAAGACCGTTTAATTTACAGCTAAAACTAAATGATAGCTAACCATTTAGTCTAATTGGGTATTTAATTAATTGAAACTGTATAAGTACTCATAATAGCATTTATAATATTCCCCAAATAATTAACCCTTGATGAATACCCAAGGTTGACACGATCAACTACGAATAATTCCCATTTCTTTGTAAAGTTGGTAAGAAACCGACAAATATTTCAAAGAATTTTAGCAAACCAAAAACGAATTTGACGTGTTTTACTTATAATTATGTAATTTGTCGATTCATATGTATCTTCAATAACATATACCATATTCTATAATAATTAGATATACTAATAAAAATATATTCTTGCTTAGAATGTAAAGCAAAAATATGTTTTAGTATAAAGAAAAAAATGTGTTATTGGTCGCATACATATGTTAAAGAAAAAGAAAGTTTATTAAAGAAAAATCAATCAATTTTAATGTTTGGATCTTGGATTTTCTGAAAAGGTTTCACATATATACATTTATACTCTGAATTTTATGTATTATAATTAAATTCATAACTTTGAAAATTAAGCAATTTCAATAATAAAACAGATGTTAATCGAATCATTTAAAGTAAAACTGATATAATCTTGGAATGTAACTTAAGTTGAACATCAAGATCGGAAATTCTTACAAAGCGTGATATATGACGCAACCAAAAAATATGTTTAGCGCTTTTATAACTCCAGACAATTATATACATACTCGTATTTACATATAAATGTTCGTAAACTTAAAAAAAATTTTTCACATTTTTTACCACTTAAAGCATATTGTAACTTTTAAACTTTAAATAAAAAAAAAAACAAAAAAGATAACATTTTTTAGCGAATTTTATTTTTTACTTTTACCGCAAGACATACATAATATCTTAAAGATTGCACATACATATACATACATATCTATTTGTGATTAAAGCAATATTAATTTATTTCTACCATATATTCTACATTTAACTGCAGAATTCATACATACACACGTTCGTGCAATATAAGAATGTATGTAATAAAACAAAAAGTAAACTAATAATCTAAAGTTCATTAAAATATCTTTGTTCAGTGATTCAAAATGGACGTCATGAATTTTAAAATTAACAATATGATTTTTGAACGAAAAAGGAGTTTCCCTATCTACACTGATTAGTCATAAAAAAAGAGCATAAAATTTTATTAACAAGTTGTTTCTTCTTCCCTTGTTTTCCTCATTATAAAAAATAAATATTTATGATGGCGCGGTTATCTTTCAAAGTCGGAATATACATACAAAAACCAAAGTCAATTAGATTTGTAGATTAGCACGTGTTTCTTGGAATATGTAAAAGTAAAAATATTTACAGTCCCTAAGATTTAATGTAAAGAGAAGCTAAATTTTTTGTTTTCGGCACACTTTAAAAAATTATTTGAAAAATATGAACCACCGATTTGATTTTGTCTTGTCTCTTTACAAAACTTCTACACCGTTTCAGATTTCCATTATCTAAGTTATAACTCAATAATTATGAAAATGCAAGTTTTTGACAAACTACTGAATCAAAATCTAACTCAAATTCTAAGAAAGTTCAAAAACAATTTCTTCGATTGAAGGAAGCTCGAACAAATTTCACAATTAAATGTCGAATTAAACTTTCACTTTGATAACCATATCAAACCGGTTTACTATACGGAAACTCAAATCAGTCTCAAATTTCAACAGCTTCTTAATTAAGTACTATAGGTTATTTCTGCGATACTACACAAATTAGGTTTGAGAGTCTATGTAGTTTTTATATTTTTTGAGTAAAAAAAAATTTATAAAATTTATTTTTGGATATGAAAATATCTTTATTGTGTTCAATGCTGACCTGCAATAGTCTTTAATTTCTTTCCTTAAAATTCTTAACTATAATTTTATTTAATTGCAGTTAACTCTACCGGATTGCAATTCGAAAATTTGTGAATTATCAAAATCTTGGTACATATATGATGATTTTTGTATTAAATATGCAACAAATAACTGGAAAGATTTCACAATAAATTCCATTTAAACAGTCAAATATTAGAGGTGTGTGAAATTATGAACTCAAGTTCATCTTGACAAAAGTTAAATTAAATTAAAATATTAACAGCCCTATTTACTTTTAACACTTTAGAGTATTTCTGAAAATTCAGTGCTTAAGGTTAGAGCTGAAAAGCTTGCAAAGCTCTATATACAAATTAAATGTAAAGCTTCTCTAAAGCTTTGCAGCTGTAAACTTAAGAATTGCATTTCCAGAAATACCCTTAATTTCAACTGATTCTGATTATTCATTATTATATTGACATTCATTCAAATTATACATACATATATATATATGTATATATTTACAATTTTTCTTTCACATTGTTAATTATGGACAAATAAAGAAGCCAGCATAAGTACATATATAAAAAATATTAAAATTAATTAAAATACAAATAATTAAAGTTATTAATAACTCAATTCATACTAATTTTAGCTTAAAAAATAAGTTCCGTAAGGGGAAAATTACATCTGCTTTGGAAAACCTCTTATAGAATATTCATCACAATTCTTATTCCAAAATATTTCCAAGAAACAATTAAATTGAATAAACCTACAGTTCATTCTATAACTGGTACGACAATTTTATTATTCTCATTGTAATATTCTGAAATCAAATATGAGTTAAAATAAACAAAATTTTTTGGAAGCGTACCCAATCTTAAACCTTTTTTGGAATGTTTAAATTATTTCAGTATGTACATATAAAATTACTCAACATTTTTATTAAAAATAATGTGTATATTTTTTAAAATTTTAACATATAGAAATTGAATTATTCAAAGAAATTGTGACTAAAACGCCCACTTTATTTATTTAAATAAGAAATAAAAAATAATCAAGGAATTTATTAAATTATTGAGAAAAAATAATGATATAATTAAAAAAATATTAATATATCAGTTTAATATTTGAAACACGAAAATTATCAAAAAAATATGAAATTTAAAAATTATAACTAAATTCTTGTTTATGTAAAACGCGTGACTTTTAAGAAAATTTAACACTCTAAGCATACAACACTCTTAGCTCCGCCGACCTTAACAGAACCGTGCGTTTTCGCTAAGAAAATATTTCCAAAACCGAAATATTTTGAGTAACACCCGGGAATCGATAAATACTTTTTGCATATGTGGTGTTATGTAGTTATACAGCAGAGAGAAAGACACTTAAAGGCAAAATTATTTCGTTACCAAATATTGTTTATAGTATAATCTTGGAAATACCACAATTGAAATTTGATCCTTAATTTTTTCAACGAATTTCAAAGCCAAAATAATAGAAATAGTAAATAAGGAAATGTGCACTCCAATAAAACAATCAAGAAGAGGTTTTTTTTAAAAAATTTTAAAAAATTTTAAGAAGAGTATAAATCTAAAGTCATATTGGATTTTACAAGTGTCCCAATTATTTTGTTTGCCAGTTAATATACAGTTATTGTATATCAATCATATAACGGCATTTGCCTATTGTACAATATTATGAAAAGTACAAAATTCTTAATTAAAAAAATAAATTAAAATATTTCAAAAATTTTGTTACATATACGAAGCTATAAACAAGCCAAGAATTAAGTGCTTTTTTCAACTTCTTCAATTTGTGAATCCCCTCATGAAATCATTGTTTCCATTTATATCCACATCAAATTATTCATATAGACTTCAGGAATTTTATTCGACAATTCAAATTTTTTTATGAACATTTTTCTCCAAAGTAAACGTTCTCCAAACATAAAAACGTGAAAAAAAAAACAGAAAACATAATGATTTTTTAAATATTTGGACTTCCTCTAAGAGACCAATTTTTAATAAGGCCATTTTATCAAAAAAATTCTATCAATCAGCATAATTGCTTAAATAAATGCAAGAATTACCAAAAAACTTGATTCGAAATTTAATTTTATATGATTTTAATGGTTTCTTATTTATACTCATAGTGGTATTACTCATAGTGAAATTACAATTTACTATTATGACAATTTTTTACCCTTGTAACACAAACAGAATTCTAAAAACAGTAAACTCTTTTGGCTCTTTTACTTGAACTAATATAGAAACTTCCTAAAACATTTTTTTTCGTTTTACGAGGAAATTAGTGTTTAAAAAATAAAACAAAAAATTGTTTAATTTTGTGCTAGCCCTTCTTAAAAAGGATTTCTGTCCAAAAAAATAAAATAATTTCACGTTCTCTTCTTTCTTTTTTCTTATTTTTTGTTTTCGAATAGTTTATTTTTAATTTTGACAGAACAGTGTTTCCTTTTTTATATGTATATTGTAGTTGTAACAATTTTATTTTTGGCATATTAAATATGACATTGTCGTATAATGCGGTTCTTAAAGAATTTATGGCCTAACCAAAAAAAAAATTCTTTTTTTGAACATAATTTTCAAAAAATAAACAACTGAAAAAGAAAAATAGTTGTTTCTTTTTTATTATTTTTTAAACAAAACAAAACTTCTTTCATTCATTCATTCTTAAAGGTCTTTTTTCAGACGTACATAAAATATAGGAAAGAGATATTGTCGACACTATAAAATCAGAAAAGTTTAATATTCAAAACGCATATAATTACAACATTTTCTCACATAAACAACAACTAACAAAATTTATTTTTTATTGTTCCGTTTAAACAAAAAAAATTTCTATAAAGATGAAAAACTCAAGAAGAAAATATGAACAAGAACTCTTTTCCCATCATAAAACTCTGCTGTTAATAAGAAAGCAGAAACCACTCGAATAAAATTAAAAATATTAAAATTTTATTTAGATTTTTACAAAATATAAATTTTGTATAAATTAACATGCATTTAAGCAAGTATATCAGCAATTTAGATTGTTTATGCTAAACATAAAAATATCCAAAAGAAAAATAAGAATAAAAATATCATGTGTATATCACTAAATCTCAAAACTTACCATATCTTCTTCATCTTCAATAAGATTGATATTCATTAATGTTTCCTTCCATGCCAGTATAATACTTTGAAAATTATTATTGAAATTTTGTTTATAAAGAAAACCATATTTTTCAGATTCATCAGCGACAATTGTAGCATTAGTTAAAGTTGTTAATGGTGTACTTTCACTTGTAATATTGTTATTACAATTTGTATTGCTACTATTCTGAGAACTAGCAATTGCTGCCATTGCAGTAATTTTTCTTTTTAATGCAATATTTTCATAATTTCTATGTAATGAAGTTTTCATACGAAATGAATCGGAACGTAATATAACAGTATTATTATTATCATTTTTATTATTATAATTATTATTTGTAATATCTAAATTAAGTGATTGAGGAAGAGGTTTCGTTGTTATCCTTGATTCCAATTGAGTTTCATTATTATTTTCAAAAGAATTATTATTTGAATTATTATTATTATTATTTGTAATTGAAGTATTTAATTTGATATTGTCATTTATATTTAAGAAATTGTCATTTAATTTAAAATTTATTTCATTGCTATTATAATCATATAATATTTTACGATATTTTGCAACAGATGGACTATATAAAATGCATACTGTTTTCCATGAATTAAAATTATTTTGATTTGTATTATCAAAATTTATCATTGTTGTTTTTTGATCATTTTTCACATTGTACGAATTCGCATTATTAATTAAAAATGATTCCATTTTTAATTCTGGATCTGATTTTGATATTCTTATACAATTACTTCCAGTTAAGGTACTTCCGGTGGAAGTTGATAGACTACTACCACAATTAAAATCATCATCATCATTTTCCTTATTTGTTTTTATTAATAAATCATTTGAATTCGTGTTCGAATTTCGGGGATAATTTATGGAATTTGATTCTTTAATATTCATTTTGGTTGAAAACATAAACTCATCGTCTGTTTCCCATTGACTGTGATCGTCTTCAGTTGTATTTATGGTTATCTTTTCTGATGAATCTTCCGTTGTTGATGAATCATCTTTAATGTCAGCCCCTTCAATAAAATCTAATGAAGTTATTTTAAATTTCGGTTCTTTATTTTTCAGATATGGTGATAATAATGGTGATTGCGACGATTTGAAAGATGTCTTGTCTATATAATATAATATATTGGCTAAAGTTAATACAATAAATTCAATTTTTTTTAAGTTGATGAATATTTCAATATTGCATTAGTAAACTTATAATAATTATTGTAATATGAATTGATAAATTTCCGAATTTGTAATTTTCAAAAAAAACTATTTGCTTAATATTTGTTTAGTAAGATTTAAGTTCAAATAAAAATTGAGTTTATTGAAATATTGAAAATTAAAATTTTATAAAGTAATCTATGTATTCTATACTAATGTTAAATTTTTGTTGACAATCAAGGTATTTATAGACTTAGTCGAAGGTTTAGACATCAAATATTTTTCAGAAATTTTATTGGATACAAATTGAAAAAAGTCCGCATAAAAAAAAATCTGCCGACTTTAGTCTAGTTATCAAACTTTCAACTATGTTTGATAGCGTAAACCTCACTCACATAGATCTGATATGCATAATTACAGAAATCTAAAACATCCATAACTAAAGAAATTTCCTGATAATTGCATCGGCTAAAAACACATAACATTTAACGCAACACAGTTGAACACTTACTCGTAGAAATAATAAAATGTTTAACTCATAAATTTCAAAATTGGAAAAATTAAATTTAGAAATTCTTAATTAATTGCATACCCAGCTAAAATATCAAGTTTGAATATCATACCAAAACCAAATTGTTGTTTTATTCTTTAAAAAGGTTTTAAATACACATAATATTTAGTCCTGCTCTTTATAAAGAATTTCTTTGAAAAATAGTCGCAATTTCTAATTTTAAAAAAGTATAAATTATATTTTAGTTGTATATTTAATTTAAATAAAAACCACAGCCATGTATGTATGTACATAATAAATACAAGACTCTCATAATTTTGCTTTAAAAACTAATTTCACTGTAATTTCAGTATAGATATAATGTACATAAATACATTACAATACAACATAGATAACGAATAAGACTATACCTCAATTTTAAGGTAAAAAGTGATAACACGAATAAAATATGAATAATTCACCAATGGAAACCAAAATAATACGAGAAAGTTTTACAATAACTTTATAGTCTGGCGCCGACATATGTACATAAAAATACGCGAACGCGACTATACGAAATATGTACATAATATGTCATGCGTAATTATAATGAAATATAAAGAGTAATCGAACTGACTTAGAAAATAGAATAATTTTCTTAAAAATATTTTAAGTGTAAAAATAACTTACTTGTTATTTTTTCAATCATTTGCAAAACGTATATTTTTACCTCAAAATCCTAAATATTTAAGAGAAATTAAAATAAAGGTATTTAAGACAGAAAGAAACTAAAATATTCCATTTTCATTACTTAATTACAAAAAAAAAATTAATAAATTCAAAGAGAAAATACTACAAGGAGATGTTCTAAGCAAGTTTAGCATTAAGTTGAATTTAAATTGAATTTTGGTCCAAGTGCTCTGACGGATATGCAATTTTTAGCTTTGCAATTGTTTGCTTACTTATTTGTGTTCCATAGGTTCGCATTCAAGCGCGCACGGATTTGTTTGTGCACCAAGTTTTATCTTTCTATCTTAAGCAGTTTAGAAGTCTTATAGAAAGACAGACGAATGGACTAAGAGGCACAATTTTTCCATAATGTTTTTGATAATGAAAAGAGTTTTTAGTGGAAAACGAAGCTATTACTTACGCACTCTTCTTGATAACGAAATTAAAATATCTAAGAAAAGCAAGTACAATTAATTTTCTGTCACTTACTAAATAACAAATTGGAAAACTTTATGATACAAAAAAGATATAAAAAATGTTTACGAGAACAACTGCTTCAAGTAAAAATTCTTCAAAACAAGACTCTTAAGTTTAGAAACTTTTTTATAAAACAATTTATTTAATATTGTGAAAAAATGAAAAAAAAATACAAAAGCTTATCAACAAATGTCTCTTTTTATAGCGTTAATGTATCGCGCTCTAGAATTGTTTGTTTATTTTTTAACTAACACAAATAAAGTTGAATCTACCTTGATTTTCGTATATAATATATATGTATGTATGCTATGTACATATTATACAATAAAAATATTTTGGAATAATATGTGAATATGAAAATATTATAAAAATGTTTGTGTTGGCTTCTCAATCTTGTAAAAATAACGCCGCTCCAAGTATACATTTTATGTAAAACGTTGATTTTAACACGCATACATTATTAAATGAAGCAATTAAATACACTTAAATCTTTAAAAAGATACTATTTATCACTTTATTTATTATTGATTACTATTTTAATCGAATTTATTTCAAAATCGACCCAAAATTAATTAATTTATATTAAAGTTGGCTAAAATAATGTAAATTAAATGCAAGTAAATAGTGCAAATAAGCAAAGTTATTTTTCAGGTATAAATACAGATGTGTTTGTTCTACAATCAAAAATTTCAATTTATTACGAAAATTTTTTTCGAAATTAAGCATATTGACCTTTATGAAATAAGTACATATTAAAAATAAATTTTAAACCTCACATGTTAAGCCTTCTGTTTTCAACAATCAACTTTTTGAATTTACTTTTCCTTCGAAAAGCGTTAAAATTTGGGAGCACAGTTTCATACAATAGTACTTACACGCAAAAATCAAAAAAAAGAAAACGTGGTTTGAAAGGAGGCATGTGTTCTAGTTATTATTATTACGAGTATTATTAAGATAGAATATTAGGTTATTAGCGCAACTCAAAATTCAATTTTATTAAAGAAATTAATTGGTTTTAAAATAAATTGTATGTTGGTTATAACAACACCATGTATTATCAATTACATATAAGAATCTTATTTAAATATAAAGAGAAACCTAAATTAATTGATAGACACTTAAGTATTGCATTTATGCAGGTTGTGTAAGAATATGTTATAATTAATTTAACAATTTAAAGTAAAATGATCTTTTAAAAACAGAATGATTTGTTTTTTTTTAATTACTTTGTCAGACTATCAATAAGCTCATTAAATAAACATTTTTCTGTCTATTTAAGTATATAAAACGAATCTTTGCTAAAATGTTAATTTCCATTAACCTATTTTGCAATATTTCTGACTCATTTTAATCTTTAAAATTCTAAACTAGTTTCACAAAATCTTAAAATTTTCATAAAAATTGAATAGTTATTTAATATTATGCGCATATGTATAAAATAGCGTTTGTTTAACTACAATTACACATTAGTAATAATTATTATTGTGTACACCAACATATTTGCAAAGCTAAACGTTTTTAATTATCAATTATTATAATATGAATGAATGCAATTCAAAGGAAATATTCATCAAAATTAAAAAAAAAAAGGAAAAAAAAATTCAAAGCTCTTATTAAATCTTACCTTTATTATTTATATCTGATTCATTATTATTACTAAAAGACGACGCCTTATTATTTCCTACATATTTTGATTCAAAATCAGATTTACTATTATTATTATTTTTCTCTACTGTATTTAAAGTTTGACATTTCCATATTGGTTGATAAATATCATCATCATCTTTTAATTGTGATCTCATATCATGAGGTGATGTTGACAATAATGATGATGATAAATTTTTATTAGCTGTACTTTTACTTCTTGATGATACAATTGGAGGTGAAACTTTTATGGAATTTGTTGGATTTATTACCGTTGTTGTTGTTGCCTGTTGTAATTCTACAATTGTAGCCTTTGATAGATTTCTGGGTTTTAAAGGTGGTGTTGGTGGTAATGTTGGTGCCATATGAGGTAAAAATCTTCTAGGTGGTGGAATTGGTTTTTTACGATTTACTTTATTATTAATTTCACTATTTTTATTATTAATTGAATTATTATCCTGAGGATTATTTTTATTTGGTTCACTACTCATAAAATCAATTAAATTGCCTTTATAATTGTTAAATTCTTTCGTAATAAAATTATCACGTATACAAATTCTGCTATTACTATTGTTAGATTTTATTTCCTTATTTTCTTCAATTTGTTTTTTTCCAAAATTTTCATCAAAAATCAATGTTTGCTTAGTAAATACAAAATGTTGGAACTTTCTAAATAATTTCAATAAATATTTTTGTTCGCACCTAAAATATTTTTCATTATTTTGTATATAACTTAAAAATGAACTTAAATTTTTATCATAAAATATTATTATCTTATTTAAACTTTCCGATAAGTTTAATGCTACGATAATATTTTCTAATTTAATTATTTGATTTGGAAATAAATTTGATACGATAACATTTAACGATAAATTTGTAATATCAGTTGTCTTAATAATATTTTGACAATAATTTGAATTTGCTATCGTTTCATAATTGAAATTCGAATTTAACTCTAAAGACTTTGTTTTATAATTTTTTGTTGAAATAATTAAATTTTTATTATAAGCTTTTAAATTTGGTTTTCTTTTAGTAATTTCATTACAGTTAATATCAAATTTAGTATTATTATCACTGTTACTATTTCTGTTATTACTATTATTACATAACGCACTTTCTTCAGATTCAAGATCACGATATTTTAAAATTGATTCAGATGTATTTGTTAGGTCACTTTCAAACTTGTCACTTGTACTATTAACGTTATTACTATTATTTATATTAGTATTTTCTGAAACACTAAAATTAGTATCAGCTAATGTGCTTGAGATTTCATTTTTTAATTCATCTATATCATTAGATTTTTTTAATTTATTTATTGCACTAACATCATTTTGTTCAAGGTCACAATCGTAATAATTAGAATTATTACTTGATTGATATGGTTGTAATAATAAATTATCCGAAAAATTTATATTATCACGATGATAGTTTAATTGTAACTGATGAACCGTTTCATCATCAGGTTTTAAATATATTGCTCGACGTTTTGAACGTTGCTGTTGCCTTATAAATTCGTTATATTTTTGTTTTTCCATTAAATTTCGTTTAAAATTATCAACCATATGTCGAGTGTATTCGTCATTTAATTCACTAATACTACTACTACTACTACATGTAGTCGACGAACCACTACATGTACTACCACTACTAGAGCAAGTAATAAAAGAATTATTAAATACTGTTGTTTGTGTAGTGTTTTCACTATCACCTTGTTGTGTGTTTGTATCTGGTAATTGTGAATTTTTTTTAGGCTCATTCAAAATTATTTGTTGTTGCTTCTGATGCAATATATTATGATTCTCTTCTGATTTTAATTGTTTATATTGTTGATTCTGTTGTTGTTTTTTCATTTGGTTTCGCGTTTCCTGACGGGAATTAACATTTACGGTTCGTTTATTATTCTTATTATTATTATTATTATTATTCACGCTACCACCGGTTGTACATATCACCTGTTGTTCAGTACTTGAGTATAAATGAACTGACTCTATATCTCTCGATATATTCAAATCATTGCTGAATTCATAAGGTAAACAAAAATTTTTTGTGGTTGGCGACAAAGTTTCAGAATTATCGCAATGTGAATAAACCTGACTTAAATTTGAGTGTAAATTATGTTGTGGAGTATTTGTTATGGAATCATTTACTTGTGGTTGGCTTAAACATTGTTTAGCATTATCATTTTCTGTATGTAGTTTGTCTGAAATTTTACTCGTACTTCTATAAAATTTAGAATTGCCAGATACAATTTCTTTATTGTTCTCATCTAAATGTTGATCTTGAGACAATTTTTCATTTAATTTAAAAATTTTATGTTTGTTTTTATACTTTTTCATTTTTATGTCATGAATTGGATAATTGCAATAGTCTTCAAAATGATTCGGATATCTAGTATTATAGCTATAACAACTTTTATATGATTTATCTGAATTGGTTGTCGTTGTAATTGTTGCTGAAGTTGTTGCAGTTAAATAATTATAACCAAAACTATCATAATTTGTTCGAGATGGAATATTTTTTATGCTAAACATTGAATCATCATAATCAAAATTATAATAAATATGTTGATCATGTCGTGTTGTGCGCAACCAATCGATTACACTATCAAAAAGTACACAATAATCGCGCGCAGAATCTACTGATGATTTTATTGATTGTGAAAAATCCATTGATAAATCAATATTGAAATTATTGGTGCCGTCATTATATCTAGATTGTTTTTCTAGTGCAACGGAAGTGTTTGGATTATTAAGTTGGTAATTACTTTTTGTAGTTGTTTTAACTTTCTCCGGAATTCGTTTTCTAAAAATTTTACTGCTATTACTGCTATTGCTTCTATTAACACTATGAGTAGATTGTTTTGGGGTAGAATGTGAAAATTTTTGAAAATTTGTTAAAATATTTTTTTTCGAATTGAATTGTGTTGAACTTTTATTTTGTAAACTTTTATGAAAATCATAGCTATTAAATGAATCTGATAGTAAAGGTTCTGCAAAAGAATTTGATTTTTTAAGTTTGTTTAAATTTGTATCAGATTTTGAACTTAATTTTTTATTTTTTCTTCTTTCAAAGACATCCTTATTATTTTTGATAGATTCGTTTTGATGAGAAATTTTATAATTGGGTTTATTATCATCATAATTTAAACTACTATTATTGTGTAAAATTTCTATATCTTTGGTAGTTTGACTAGAATTCGCTTTTAATTCTGAAATTTCTTTAATATCAAATGTATTTTGCGTGTGAAAAACATTATCATAACCATCTATATTATGAACAATTTGTAAACGATTTACAGATGGATTAGAACTATTTGGTTTTTCAATCTTTTTATTATTTTTAACTCTTTTTAATGTGTCTATAATACCGTGAAAGAAACGTTTTTGATTTTTTGTATTACTTTTTGTAATTTGATTTTTATTTTTATAATCAATATTATTTAAATATTCATTAATATAAATTTTTTCTAAATCATTTTGCTCAAATAATAATTGTTCATTACGTATCGTTTGGCAATTACGACATAATTCTGCACCATCTCTACCAAAAAATAATATACCACATTTCATGCAAATTTTATCTGGAGTTTTTTTTCTTTTTAATACACTATCATCAGAATATTGGCATAGATCACATACATTTGAATTCAAATCATTTGGAATATCATAACCACATTCATTACAAAAATTTTGGTAAACACATTCACTACTAATTATTGTGTTTGATAATTTCTCAATATAATTATTATCATCTTCAGTATCATAATCATTATCACTATTATTATTATTTTTATATTTTTTATTTTTAGCACTTGCAGTAGTGTTTAAGAGAAATTCTTGTAACAATAAATTTTTTTCTAGATATTCTTCATCAAATTTAATTGCTTCCCTTTTATTTAAATGAAGATTACTACTACTGCTAGTAGAATGATTAGTTTTCCTTCTAATAATGTTATCAGAATCTTCACTATCAATAATTTCAGTTGTTTTGTAGGCATTAAAATAGCGATGATTTAATTCCGGTATTGAATCATTTTCATATTTTGCATATTCTTTTATTTTCTGAGACGATTTTTTAAAACGATCTCGAGCCGGTACTATCGCGTTCTCGTCTTGTGAGCAACTATTTCTTTTTCTTTGATTATTTTCATAAAAAATTATTTTTTCCATATCGTTAGTGTTAGCATTATTTTAAAAATTCTTTTTTTTTTATATTTTGCTCTCCTTTAATTTGTATATTTTAAACACATGCATAATATAAAGAAAAGCAAAATAATTTTTTTATATTATTTTATTTTTCATTGCTTTTTAACTTTTATTTAAAATTATATTAAACTCAATTTGTTTTTTATCATCATATTCGAATTCATTTTATAATTTATAATAAAAATATCTCAGAATGTAAGTATGTACAATTCTTTTATAATGAGTCATTTTCAATAAGAGAATCGGATAACTATACTTTATAAATTTTAACGACAATCACGGAATGATGAGAATTCGCAATATAAAAATATGTAAGTATAGATAAAAACTATAAGATTGCCATAAGAAACTGCGGGATAGAATTAACTTGGTTGGAATTATCTTAAGTTTCCTTTTTAAGCATTTACTTTTTTTTGTATTTCATTCACAGTTTCTAACTTTATATATGCATATACATATGTATGTTTATGGAATGAATAATATTTTAATAAAAATATCAAGTTTATTAATATAAAAAACAAAAATTAAAAAAAAGAGTAAATTTCGAGATTTATTACAATATGGGATTAAAATTATAAATTCAATGATCGTATTAATTATTTGTTATCGCATTTCATTGATACTTGAACTCCTATACTTTATACAAGTAATATTTAAATTTGTTTTTATGAATTTAAAATTTAATTCTATATTATTTTTACATTTAATTAAAACTTGTCTTTTTAAAGAGTTTAACAATTTTATACAATTAATATAATATTATTATTGAATATTAAACATGGCACATCACAGCTGGTTGCTCTAAAGAAGAAAAAATACCAAAATAAAATATTAGAATTTTTTTTTAACTAATTGCGAATGAGCAAATTTCAATTCTAAAATGATCACTCTTGATTCTATTGTGAACTTAAAACGAAAATAAAATTAGAAACAACGTAATTTCATACTACAATTGAAATTAATAATTATTACGGTTTATTTATTACACATTTATTTTGGAACAATTATATAATATTGAACAAATTAACTATATACACATGCAAAGAATTAAAAATCATATTTGACACTCAATTTTTTTAATGTAGCTTTTAATTAATATCACAAAAAAATTTAAAAATCAAAGCTATTAGAAGAAGAAAGAAAAACTATATTGAAATTTTAATTATTAAATTGTAAATAAAATTCAAAAGAAAAATAATTTATTTATTATTTTTATAAATTGTTTGAACGCGATATTACCGCGATTGAAGTTAAGACCACGTCGTGTCTATCTCTTATAGGGTGCTTAATCAAACTAATCTCTGTTCGAATTAAAAATTTTACAAACCTTGGCCGGTTCTATAGTAGTAGAAAAAAAATAAAGATGGTGTTTTTTTTGTTTTGTAATTTTCTTATTCACTCATTGTAGTTTTTTTTTCTATACTCTGCCTCTGTTATACATAAAATATGTTCATTTTTTTTTCATCATTTTCTGGCAATTTAATTTTTGTATTTTTTGTTTTTTTTTTTTTGTGTCTTATTTAATAAAACATCTTTTGAATAAAATCATCATCAAAAATGAAAACACAAAAGAAAAATTAAAAATGTGTACAATTTTTATTGATAGAAGCAAAAAAAGTAAAGCACTTTATAACAAGCATAAAAATGATTAATGACAACAAAACTGTAGGGGATACTATGGGGCTATTCAAAATCAAGTTCTAACTAACTTTTAAATAAGATATGTAACTAAAAGTTGTAACAATAAGTTTTAACTAAAATTTTCTAACACATTTTTGTTCATAATATATTTAAATTATTTATCAAATTATGGAATTTTTGCATTAACAATAAAGTTTTTTATTATAGTACCGAAAAGTAATGTACGAAATGTAAGGAAGGTTTGTCATCCATGAAGAAAAAGTTTTTAAAAATATGCCATTTTCTCTTTCAGTCTAGGGACTTCTAGGAATATTTCGCAAAAAAGATATATGGCTATAATAAAAGAGTTCTATAAATCCTAATTATTCGCAGACGTCCTTTTATAAACTTTTATAGTCACCTTATTTTGAAGTTATCTAATTTCTTATGGAAAAGTCATTAGCAATATCCTCTTAAAATAAATACACTTTTCGTAGACTTTCATAAACTTTTTATTTAAAAATTGAGAACTCACATAATATTAACGAATTTGTCTACATTTACATACAATATAAAGATACCATAAATATATAATTTTTTTGAAATCGAGAAAACGAGTATGCATGTGATTATTGCGAATCAGCCATCAGTAATTATTGTATGTAGCGCTTATATAGTAATGGTGTTATGATTGTGAATTCAATTTGAGAACATAATATTAAAATATGGAATATACAAACCTCAAACGAGAACCAACATGTCATAACAATTATAATGTTTTATTATTTTTTTTTAATTCATAAATTATACTCTATCAGTATGTAATGTAATGTGTGCATTTATAATACTAAAATTTACTAATTGAAATACAAAATTGTATCGCCACATTCTCCTCAAAACTTATTTATGCATATGTACATTGAAAATACTACATCTAAACATAAAGATATATACATATATACAAACATATATTCCAATATGAATACATACGAAATTGCAAATTTTCTTTAGAATTTTATTAGCCGCAGCCCCATTTCGTTGTCATTTTACTGATTTCTCGGTTAAATGTGGTTTTCCTCGAAAACAAAATTTTTATTTTGAATGAATAGCAAATACCATGGAACCCCGTTATTAAAGAAATTTTAAACTGTATAAAATCTGATAAAAAAAAAACAAAGAAATATAGAATAAAAAGAATAATAAAAATTAGTTTATTTTTTTCTCCAAAGAGATTTGAATCTTCTCCCGTATCTGCGCACATTATAAAAGATTTCAGTCAGCACAATAAATAGAAACATATAGAAGCTGCTACTATATACAGTGGACATAACAATTGTAATCATTGTATTTAATTAGTACAGATCAGAGATCAACGTTTTTACAGTTAACCAACTGAACCCCTTTTTTATTGGTGTAAATTTTTATTGTTATATTTCTTTTTATTATTTTTAATGAAGGTTATACCGCTTATAAAACTCTAAATTTATCAATTACATTTTATATATTGGAATACACATGAGAGTAAACGAGAGAAAATTTGAAAATAAAGCGATTATAAAAAAAAGAATATAGAATACGCAAATTTTCTTTTCCATCTTGTTACAAAAAAAAAATTATTAGATCTTAGATACAATTACGGAGAATAGGAATATGTACAATATAAACATACATCGCAGAGTTGAAAAACCTTCACATTACAGGCGGTCATTTTGCCAAAAGTAGTAAAAATGACTTTGTTTTGATTATAACAAAACAAATGCTTCGAAAAGTCGCAAACCCAAAAACCAACTTTTCAAACGTTGGAAACCTAAAATTAACAAATTATGTTTACAAATTTTCGGAATAAAATTTTTTCCCACCTCCCTTGTCTTTAAAGATATCATCTCACACATCAGCAAACTTTCAACTTTTAGCTCCTTATTTTTTCCGAATTTTTACAAAGCTAAGGCTAAAACAGAATTATCTTGCCATCGAAAAATATTAATTCATTTAGTCAGCGCTTGAAATTATGTAAGCGCTTCATTAGGTTAAAAAAATGCAATTTTGCAATTTAAAAAAAAGCATTTTCCTAAAAGTATGCTATATAATTATTTAACATCATTTTGCCGTACATATTATATAATTAAGAATAATTTAAGTGGGAGGCTTAAAAAAATATTCATTTCCACTTGTTCAATGGAAATCTGGTATCTTACAAATCATTGATTTTATCCCAAATTATTATCAAAAATTTTGGTATAAAAAGATCAAAAATCCAAACATAACTCAATGCAAACAATATTATACTACTGGACGCATATTTTCTTCCTTAAGAAAACTGGTGTCACATAATATATGGAAAAATGTTCTTCTCCTCTATTTCAAGCTTTTGTATTTTTTAAGTGTTTACGTGAATATTGTATATTGAAATAAAATACTAACATCCTATGCGTTTAATAATTCTAATAAGAGACTTGAAAAAGAATGTAGATCAGAATATCACGATTTAAAGTATGAAACCGACCGACTTTATATTTTCATTTATTTGTTTTTATTCTTTAATTTGTTATAAATTTGACCATTAATTCAAAAACGTTCTATTATTATATTGTAAATTTTATTTTTTTAATTTATACAAAATGTACGTATGTGTGTATATATATTTGTGTATTATTATGTTTCGGTTTTGTTGTTTCAGCATTTTAAGAAACACTTCAATGAAACTGCAACTGAAATTAAGAATGATGGGTGCCTAAACATCTCTTTTTATAAGCGCAAAACGATACTGTATGAGTCATTTTAATTTTTATGTTTAGGATGGAATGAAATTATCGTAATTCTTTAAGGATTAGACAATGTATGTTTTTCTTTTGACTATATTTTTAATCTATTAGTCGCTTAAATAAATATTAACACTTTTCGAAACAACAGTAAAAGTAATTAAATTAACCTATTTATAAGTTTCACAAAATAATTTTACAAACTAGTTTCATGCGAGAAATTACAATCTGTTAGAATTGTGTCTGAATTGCCGAAGCTTTCTTCTATTCTTTCAGTAAATTAGAGTTTTTTGAAATTTCAACTTTATTTAACCAGATTCCTCTTTAACTGTGATAGTTTTCAAGTTAATAATATATTTGATTTTATAAATAAATTATACGAGAGTAATTTTTGAAAGTGCTATGTTGTAGACGTTCTGCATGTACAAGACATATAAAATCAAATAACTGGTATGTTATATAAAATTTCCTGGCGTTCTTTTGGGAGCGAACTTTTGAGTATATTCGAAATTGCATACAATTACCAC